CATTACGTAAGTCGGTGGGCAATCCTTACTCATTAGCTTCCATCTACCGATTTTACGCCAAGGAGAACAAAAGCCTACACAGCACGTGAAAAATGTTTATGAAACTCGCTTCGAAAGGGTCTGAATTCCGGGATTAGTGGAACAATATAGACTGAATTAATTTAGATACAAGTGTCATAATACTTTCCCAACGCACATTCGTCCCACGGAGAAGTGTGCTTACTTTGGCCAGTGCATCTCGATACGCTTGGCGGAGACGGGTTTTCCCGCTAATCAAAACACATCTTCAGGGTATTAAAATGAACACGTTTTCTGGAGCAGCCGGCATACAAACATCACTTTCACTCACTTCCCTTCGCAGATATCTATAACCTTGCGTTGCAAATATGAATTTTGTGCATCGTAACATCTCCTTAACTTAGCTGCGCAAAAACAACTTGGTGTGAGCTAGCAATGCGAACTGGATAAATTTGTGTGGTAAACCACTGCAGAATCATTACGTGTGACATGCATTGTTTGTGGTCAGTGTTAATCAAGATCAGCGTTTTGTTTTCCATCTCGCAGAAACTGTTCCATAATTAGCTCATTCATTCTCATGCTTTCTATAAGAAATGCATGGGTAGCCCGAATATAACCCGTGACGATTACGGCTAACATAAACCTGCAAAGCGTGGCTACCTTTTTAGTTGCGCCATCCTTAGACAAATTCACCTGCGGGACACGAGACATGTTAGTATACCCACCCACTGTCGGCTTTGTCCGCGTATCATACGTCGCATGAAGCCAAAAACAGTGATTGGAAGACCAATAATCTACGCACTTACATCTCGTTTTAGTTCGCGAAATAGCTTTCATTTACACGGGTTTCAAGCAATAACTTTGCAAGCTCTCCTCATATCGATCATTATCTGGCTTCCGTCCTTCGTGATATTCAGCCTCTGTAAATTTGCACAACGAAAACTCACGGATTCACGGATGGATACACAGGACCGAGGCTTTTGCCCAAGTTTCCCGGATCGGTTTTGTTCTTGTCGGTCAGTGGCGGTCGTTCACCTGAAAGCCACAAGTGAAAAAAAGGGTTTAGCACTGCTGTTATGTTCTCAGCTTGGAACAGTATGTTGCCAGCGCGAGAATTCGCATAAATAAATGCCTCATAGTGTTTTAAATTGGGTTCGAGAAAGAGCGTGTTGAATCGTTGGAGGAAGGTCATTCCACGCAGCTACTACCCGAAATGAAAAAGTTTTTGTCTAATGAATGTGTGTGCCCTGAGCTTGAAAATTTTCTTACTATGTCCCCGCCTGGTGTTTGCTGGGTCAACGGTAAAAAACCTGTTTGACAAGCTTTGTTCGAACAGGGCGTAAGTAAGAATTAGGTCCCCTTGGAGACGACGGTACT